AGGGAATCTGGAGATCAACATTGATCTTTCTCGAGAATGTCAAATCTCTTTCAAAAAGACACATGCATGACAATGACGCAACCAGAAGGGGCGGCACACTCAAGCAGGTACCCTCCGGGCGGCCCACCTGCCCTCCCATCCACCAAATGTTTTGCGCCACATCATACAGAGCGAAAAATGACCACTTAAAGGAGGTACTCTCCTCCCCTTCCGATTTCAAGGCCCCAAAAAAAATTTCTGCCTAAGCCCCCGATATGTTAGGTGTGAAAGAGTCCTGACGAGTGCTAAAATTTCACTCAAGCATATCCCCCCCCCCCCCCCCGGGTATGTCTATTCTCTCATGGGACATAAAGTCTAACTGGCACTGTACCACACTTACCTGGCCGGGCTGCTTGGATGTGAGATGAAACACTTTCCCCCTCCCCTCCTACCCATAAAGCAATGCGCTTAGTATAGTTATAGTTTCGGCCTTTCGTTGCAGTACACCAGCAAACCTGATGTGGTATACCTAATTATAAATCAGCGTGCTATAAACTACTGAAAACACAAGATGTGGCACTACAAAGCTAGCACAGGCGCCGGGAATCTCCTGTGCAGAAGCGGCATCCACGACAAGAAAGTTCTTCCAGGGTCTTCCAGCAAGACTTGTAACTCATGCTTTTCTTTAGACAATGTTTGCTCTTGAGGGTAGGCAGGCGAAAACTCTGGGGGGGGGGGGGGGGAGTATGGGGGTCCCAGCCCCCTTTCCTCCCCCCGTACCCCCGATAGCGCCGCTGGTGGTCCTATGTCACCTGTTCCAGTGTCTGTCCAGTGCCTATTCCCTCATCTCGTGTCTTCGTGCACTTGTGCGCTGGCATTCAGCTCGGGCCTGTGCCGTGTGTTATTGCTCACGCTTTGTCCTCCAACTTACTTGTTATATTTTTAATCTGAATGGTCCTCATGGCCTAAAACAAAAGGAAGAACTACTTACATTAGGGTTCATCCCCATACCGTACGCACACATCGTACATGTGGTTCCATGTAGTGAGAGCCAAAAGAGGCGTACTAGCTGTGGCACGGCCAAACGTGCTTTATTTTTATATTGTGGGCTGCTTTTCCTTGGACCACTGCAGGGCGGCCGCCTGTGATCTAAAGTCTAAACACCCTGAGGATGACTATGTGAGGTCTAGTTACAGCGTGTGGTTATAAAACTAGCCGCCTACAGCGACTTACACCGAATTTAGAATAGACGATCTGTTCAATTAGGTCTTCAAATTAGCGTAATGTGAATGAGTCTGTAAAATGTGCCACCGAAATGCGGTACTCGTCGGAAAATAAAAATTTAATATGACGCACTCTTCTAGATTACTGCGAGTACACGCTCGTGCAGTTCTTGTTTGACTAATCCCTCAGTAGGAAGTACGCGGTTACCGCAGTCACTGATCAGCAACAGACTTCTTATTGTACTTATGAAGTTCAGCATGACTCGTAATGAACTGTGAGACATCACGTTCTCTTTTACCTTGAAGACAAATGCTGTACACGTACACTGAGCGATTGAGCTGATGCGTGGAAACCGATCGAATGGGCAAATAAACTTGATATGGGCTGACACTGCCGAGTTCTTTTAACTACGTGTTGAAATGATATTTCTTATCATTTGTAATATTGATGCGCTAGTATCGCCTACGATATATGTTCGTGCGACCGCGCTAGTGCTTTTCCAACCTGTTCTTAACGTTCATTCAAGCGACTAGTTATCAAGTGTTAAGATGGCAATTCACGTCATATTCCCTAAAGTTTATTTTACTTAGATGAGCGATCGTTAGTCGTGTAGTGTAGTTCCCCTTCCTATTATGTATAGACATTCCAACTCCACATTTGCCCCCCTCGAGCGTACGCCTATGCCCAGAAAGAAAGAACACGTACGTGACCCCCTTTTTTTGAAATTAAACTACGTGCGTTGATGCGATGCGCGCCCTGCATTGAAATATTCGTACGTATTTTCTTTAGGAAAATGCTACACGCGAAAATACGCGTTATGTGCAAGCAAAAGTACAATCTTCAGCGCAATTCACCGGCAGCCCCTTTTCAGGCGTGTCCAACCGCGCCTTGCTCTCGGCCCGCCACGCACGTGTTATCGCCTAAATCCACAATAATGTGGTTTCAAGTCCCGTAATCACCGCCGTAGTGGTAGCCGCCCCGGTAATGTTGGCCATGCGGTGTTTATCGTGCACTCACATCGCACAGTGTACGGGCCTCTGCATCGAAATTTGACCGCCGCGGCCGAGATCGAACCCGGCCGCCACCTTCCAGCGGGTCGGCAGCCGAGCACCTTAACCACAACACCACGTCTCGGCTGACATGAATTCCCGCAGTGTATGTGCATGCCTTCCTATCTTAATTGTGGCACGCTTATTTTGTATTTCGAGTGCTGCCATGATCATGTGTACGTGACACACGCATCTTTTGCCGAGAATTTGTTACACGTTCAGAGCTTTATAACTATTGGCTTTTATTTTTTAAAAGTATTTCGCATGCAGACATTCAGAGCGTTCGCAATCACACGCAATTATATCCGCGAAATAGCCTGCTGTCAGCTAGCAGCGTGTTTACACGACGAGTGGACACGAAGTATTTTAGCGGCATTCGATGACATACGTCCTCATTTTTGAAGCCACGCTTGGTCAATAATCTAATTGTAATGCGTCTTAAACTGACTGATACCATGAACACTAAGCTAAGTCTCTTTTACTTCGCTTGTTTTGCAGTTAGTGAGGGCAAGGTCGTATTTTCAGGCGTTTTGTGCACCTTAACTTGCGATGTAGGCTTAAAACACGTGGGCATCGATGAAACAAACCGGTGGAGTCAAAACGGTGCCAGGGCACAGTCAACTAGCATTCGCGCGAGAAAAAGATGGCGGCGGGGGAGGTACCTTTTATGTCATTGGCTGTTCTCTGTTCAGCTCAGATACAAGTGTTCTTGTTCGCAGGGAGCCGCAGTTGTGTGGGACTGTGAAAGAATCGCCTGGACAGGTAGCATTTCGGTTATTAACTAACGCATGAAACTGGTTTGTCACTTAGTCCAAGCACATAGATTCCTGCAGCAATGGCAAGTGTGAGCAGACGATGGCGGTAAACGTTTTGTCGTGCGAAACATCCGATAGGTTCTTTGTACTGTCACGAGACATGACAGTGAGACAAGATGCATGGCTTAAGATGTAAAACGCAGTGAGCATCATTAGCCACGCGAATTTGGCTGTTGTTGTCGTTTAAAATTTGGCTGTGCAGTGTGCCATCTTCATATGGGATAGGCAGATATAAAATGGTCTAGATATTTGCGCGTGAGACGAGTGTACCGGGCACGTCTCAGTCGGCTGCTGTTGTTAACTGTTATGCCTATTTAATATGTATTTAATGAGTTGCACGAGGTCAGCTTGTCTACTGCCTATGCACAGACAAGTAGTTGCTCTCAAGCATGAGCGAGGGTGTCGTCGTGTCCATGTAAGTTTATCAGGTGAGGTGGTTTGTGGACATTAAGGGCGTCGGCAGAATCTTGTCTTGGGTGGGTGGGGGGGGGGGGGGATGGTGAAAACCAGTGGTGCATCGTGAGGGAGGGGGGAGGGTAGCGGTGGTGTGGTTTAGAGGGGGTCAAGTGCCCTTTTGAACTCCCCCCCCCCCCCCTGCCGACTACCATGTGTTCGTGTCCACAGTGTTCACATCTTTTAGGTATCTCGAGTGCATCTCTTGATACTTTGTTCCAGGACAGAGCTGCTGGGCACATCTGGACGCGGGCACATCGAATGTGCATAATCATGCATCGTGATAAATATGTTGATCTTATGAGGAGGAAGGAAGGAGGAAAGACAGGGAGGTTAGCCAGTTATGTTATGAACTAGCCTTTGCAGCTGGGCTTCATGACCTTATTCATGGCGCAGGACCGTTTGATGAAGATGGGCTCGACACAGCGTTCTGTAGGGGCTAGAGGGGCGTGATTCTCGATCGTTCGTTGGATCATTGTTAACTATGTACGCGAATTAGCTGCTGACAGAGACACATATCCAGGCAAATAGCAACGTAAAGTAATATGTAAACTAAAGGGGCTGAACAAGTGCGTCGGCAGAATCTTGAGGTGCGCTAAGCCGTGTTGCATCGCGTCTCGGGGCGTCAGGTGAGGTTGGCAAGCTCGCAAGCCTGTCGGACGCTTTGGCACCGTGGCTGCTGCACGTCTCTTTGTCGAGTCGTTGCGTCTCGTTACGTCATTTTCGACAAACGGTTGCGATCGCGCGTGTGTTATGGTGGCTAGCATACGTGCGCGTAGCGCATCTGCAGTCCATTTTTGAACGCGCACAGTTTGTTCGTTAATTAGCTCGTTTGAGCTCCATTACACTTGCGTAGAGTATAGTTACCTGCGAACAGTACTCCAAGTTTCATTTTATGAGCTTCCTGGACATTCACCATTATAGCGCATTTGTTTCTCTTTCTTTTTACATTAGCCGCATTTTCTATTCTTTCTGTCCCTCACGATATAGCAAAACATGCCCAATTCATCTTACGAAATAGGTTACGGGCGGCCTAATCGTCCTGTTGTACGCAGTTTGAGCAGTAGGAGATACATTGCGCATCGCTCTCTGCTATCGCTTGTGCCGCCTCCATTGTTGGTAAGTTGTTTTGAATAATACCGGCCAATGCTAGGAATCTTTTCACTTCAGTTTCTTGTAAGCTAAACAAACCACGAAAAACTACAATGTCCACTACAAGTACTAATCTACTTCGGTAACCAAAAGTCCGTCCCAGCGAAAGAACGGGAGCACGCGCTAGCCGAGGGAATACCAACCGGAGAGATTCAATTTTCGTAAAGACAGCGTCTGAGAAACGTTAGAGGATTCACATTACTTAAATAACACACTAAATGCAGGGTAAAAAGGCGTTCACGGGCGCACAAAGGGCTGGCGCGAACCCACAGACATCCACAGGTCAGACAAGCCATGCGCTGCTACAGGGGGGGTGGGGGGTCGGCGATGCTCGAAGCGCGCGTGTGTGCGGTGCGCGAGCTGACACGCCGTGCCCCACGCACCGTAAAGTGGTGTGCGGGTCTATGAAATCGTGTGCGGACACCGTTTGTGCTCCCGTCGCTACGTGGATGCGTTCTTCAAGCCGCGAAACTGTCATCACGCCGATCGCAGCGCAGCAACGGGGACGAGTCGGGACGAGAGACGCCGCGGGAGCGGCCAGCCGCCGATCTCGCGTCTAGGCCTAATGAAGTGTCTCCGCCGTCGGCTGTGTTGTGTTAGCGCGCGGCTATCGCTTTGGGAAGTCACCGTTCACCGGACCATCTGTACCGGTACGTAGAGACAAAAGTTGGTATTTTGGCGCCCCGTGTAACGTGACATCATGTCCGTTTGTGATCGTCGCGGCAGTATTCGGCTTTTTTTAACGCCGCTGCCTGCCGTACACAATTGCGGTGCGGGCGAGACGTCCTTGTTGTGTGCCGTCCGCATCCAGTCTTGCCGATATTTTTTTCGTGCCAGATAAGTGTTTTTATTGGAGATTACTTATGACTCGGAATGTTTGATGGAACTTATGATTGACAGCTGTTTTTCACAGCGTTTGGGGGTATATTTAATATTTTCTTGTCTTGCCATTACTGTTCGGTGCAGTTGCATCTGATGCTAGAACTGGACGCGATCTCTTGCATAGGCTTGAAGAATAAGTGCTTTCTCACGCCACTTGTATATAATTTAGCTTGTGTGACCCCCCTACTTCCTGTCTGCATACAAAGGCGCGCCTGATAAGATGCGCCATATGACAGTGGACGTGCGCCCAGAGCTCGTGCCGTAGGCCGCTGACAAAAGTTTCCCACCGTAAGTGGTTAAGACGTATTTCCATGGTATAGCAAGTCCGCCAAGGAGCATCTCGTTGTATTTTGTGTTCGTGGTGTCTTTGTACTTTGCTAGGGTGGTTATGGAACTGTTTTTAGCGGTCAGGGTTAACAAGCTATGGCGATGTCTGCACGTGGCAACCGTACAGTTTAAGGTTTTGCGAATAATGTTGGGCGATCTTCATATAGATAAACCACAAGTGCATTAACATTGGTGAGCTTGGAAAACATCGCATTTGGCGTGTTACTCCAGCGGCGTCGGCAAGTACGAAACACCATGGTCCGCGACCTCCATGACCTGCTTCTTGCGCGTCTGGTCAAGTGCGCAGTATGGCCTGCAGCCGCGTTCTGGACGGGAACAAACGAAAATATATTGGCATGTGTAAGTTCTAGTGGCTGCGCGCGTAGTTTCATCTGTTATGCGGCATTCGGCCGCGGTTAATTGCAACGATCGCTCACGTGTTTGCAACGCATGCCTAGGGTGCAGGTCTACGCGCATCTTCTTTGAAGATGGCGGCTTTTACCAAAGCCGTTGCGCATAATGTGAAATACCAGTACGCCCCGCTGCATTGCGCTGAATTCATGTCAATGTACAATGTGTGATATGTATGATTTGTGTTCATCTGAATTTCGCTTTCTAATTGTCAAGCATTTTGTAACATGCTAATAGTTCTTTTTCTCTCAGTGCTTGCTTTATTGTATTGTGGCATTTCATCTTGTGCTTTGTATAACACGCATTGAGGAAATGAATTATGTGCTTCATGTTTATTACATAATGTTTATTCTTGTGTGATGCATGCAAACTGTGTTGGTTAGGACATGTAAAACACAACAAACATCACAAAATACTTAAACTGTAAAACGCATCTCACGATTCTCGAGTTCACCCTAAACTACCCCAAGTTTGATTTTGAAGGCATCATGATTTTTTTTTACGTGGTTGAAGTCGCTTATATTGGCTAAGGAGGTTTGCAGAATGTGTACATTCTTTAGGCCATTGAGACGATATTTCAATTTGAGTTCTGTTCATGAAGGTTTATTATGCGGTGTTTTGCTTCTATAGCCTGTGATGTGCCCTGTCACAACATTCAGTTAAGTTTTTTTTCTCATAATCTAAGCAGTTATCGCACAATTTCCTGTGATGTAATTGTATTGGAAACGTTATGGCTTACTCGTTATTGATACTCGTCGTTGGTGTTTGTCACTATTGAGTATCCAGTAAAGGAAGTTCTCCAAATGTGTCAAGATGTTCCCATGTGGCCTGAGAAATACAAATACTATATGATCCATGGCCCACCATGTTTCTTTTTTTTTTTTGCATTCCACTATGACTAGCATTGATTTGTGCTAGCACATGACATGGTGCTAATGCACATGTAATGACAAAAATAAGGCAGCTTTAGTTTCAGAACTTTCGCTTCAAAAACACGAGCTTTCTACATTAATCTTCTTTATGTTAGAGAGATCTGTTATTTCAACACTCCATGTACTTTTCTACTCTTATGCCAGCTGCAGAGCTAGTAAAAATGGGTTTTTTCGTATTGTGCATGGTTCATGACTGTCTTATTTATTATTTTCGTGGCAAAATGTCGTAAGAAAGGTCCCAAACGTCAATAACACAAGGCATTACTACAGTTACTATATATGGTTCCTGCTTACCTTGAAACACTAATGTATAATGCTTGGTGTTCTTATTAGAAAACTCCTGGCAGTACAATCAATCTAGTGCTTTTCATTCTGGCGTCGCCTTGCAGCTGCGGCTTTGCACTGGAAAGCTACATGCCACCATGGCTACATGCCATAGTGACTTCAGATGCAGTTTAGCCTTTGCAACAGTAATGCTCAACCAAAACTTCTCCAAGCAAGAGAACTAAATGACAGACATTTGTGTCATTTTCATTAAGTGTGCTTAAGGGTAATTTCTATAAGTAAAATAGTTGCTGTTGCCCCGCCGCGATGGTCTAGTGGCTAAGGTACTCGGCTGCTGACCCGCAGGTCGCGGGATCGAATCCCGGCTGCCACAGCTGCATTTCCGATGGGGGCGGAAATGCTGTAGGCCCGTGTGCTCAGATTTGGGTGCACGTTAAAGAACCCCAAGTGGTCGAAATTTCCGGAGCCCTCCAATACGGCGTCTTTCATAATCATATGGTGGTTTTGGGACGTTAAACCTCACATATCAATCAATCAACGTAGTTACTGTTAACATGTAAGCAAGAAGAACATTTCTTCAGAAAGTCATGTGATGCAGCACAATTTTTTGAAGGCTAAACCAATTTACCAATAAGTTTACAGCAGGCTCATTCCTGCAGCTGTAGTTTGTCTGCCAGTGCTTCTGTGCATTCCTTAACGTGTTACATGGGTCATGGCCTATATTTACAACTGGTGAGCACCTTATGCTGCATCCAGGAAATGCTTTGTGTCGTAATGAAACTGTGATTGCCCGTTGTCTCACTACAGCTGCGCTGATATCATGTTTCTATAGACAAACAGTTATGGCACATCACCGACAGTGAGTAAACATTGCTGTTTGTCTAATTGGTTTAAGAAAAAAACTGCAAATACATTACAGCCATGTGCAGGGCTTACAATCAAGTAAAAAAAGATTGAGTAATGTATCAGTGTCCCAGAAGCAGCAGAATTGCTTGTCTCAAAAGATAGTTATGAAGTTACATTTTGATATGTTACTGCTGAAAAATCTGAAATGTGTGCAACTAGGAAAAAAAATTTTCAAAGTGCTCCTGGAGACAGCTCAGGTGCACGACTGTGTTTCACAAGTTTTTTTATTAAGGAGAAAACTCTCTTAGTCTAAATTCCTCTGTTGAATGCCAGTAACATCATATTCGTGCATGAAATGGTTACAAAGAAGCACCTGCCAGTGGCATTCCAATTCCCCCATTTGTGCCACTTTGCTGCAGTAGGACTTCTCGGCACCTTACCGTTCTCATTCAAGTGCATCTCGCGCCAACTGCACAACCAATGTTCACATTTAGCCTGTTTAAACAGCAGTGGAGCATTTCTGACCCCAAGTATTTTTGGTTTGGCATCATATCTACATGTAATTTCCGTACTGTCGTCGAATTCGCATCCCCACTTTCCATCATTGTGCTTTTCCTCGTTTTAGCCTCCCTAAGCAAAATTTTTGTGCATGTTCCCTGCTATTGATAGGTTTGGCATGTTGTTTGTAGTCTAGATTAGGTAAGGGTTGTGTCCCCTTCTCCCCTTAAAAAAAACTAGGAAGTGAACTAGTAAACTTGCAATGTGGCATGCAGGTTCTTTTTGCTGATGCTTCACCACAATGTACATATTGTGTGTTGCAGTGAAGCCTGAATACGGCAATAATTTGTGTAAACAGCATGATTGATGGAGTCTTATCTTCATTACATGTGAGCATTTCCTGGTCGCACATTAATAATAATATGCACCTAAAATGTTGCACACTTTTTATTACAACCAAACATCATTCCATTTGCTCCAACCAAACCTGTTATGAAACTTGCAGCTCCAAACCTGCTCCAAAGCTTGGTTTCTTCTGCTGCAAAACAGCTTTTTTCATGCTATGGAAAGGTTTTCATATCTTTAGCTGGCTGGACCACCACTGCATTTTCACAACCCTGAAATGTCAAAAAAGACATATTGCACTGCAGAGACAGGAATATGCGACATTGTATAGTGTACTGCCATATTAAAGTTGGATCACAGGTTATGTCATTTTGTAGCATTTACATACAGCACACACTTCACATTTCTTTTTTCTCATCTTCGATCATACAATGCTCCACATTCATGAGGTAATGTCAGTTTCCTTGCTGGCAGAAATGTGAATAAATTACTTTCATGTTCTGGGAATAGGTAATCTACATAATCATTCTACATAATCATTCCATTGTTACCTTTAAAAAGGATTGAAGGAGGTGCACAGTATAATGTACAAAGAGTTTTGAGGCGATACATTTTAGCAGTCGAGAATTTATAAGTTTTTAGACATTGCTCTTATATGGTTGCGATATGCATATGAAAGGGGCAGTTTTGAGCTGTACAGTAGGGTAAATTTGATACTAAATTTATGGATTGCTTGATTTATATATGTGGTTTAACATTCGAAAACCACCATATGATTATGAGAGACGCTGTAGTGGAGGGCTCGGGAAATTTTGACCACTTGGGGTTCTTTAACTTGCATCCAAATCTGAGATTGCGGGCCTACAGTATTTTAAATGGAAGCGAAAATGCAGCCGCCTCAGCCGGGATTTGATCCCGTGACCTGTGGGTCAGCAGCTGAGTGCTTTAGCCACTAGACCACTGCGGCGGGGCCTAAATTTATGGAGAGTGGCAAAGTAACCAATAATGGCTTTTTAAATTCCATTTGCTTTTTTGTGTGTGTGCGCTATGAATTCGTTTTTATGTGAAGAGGCTTTTAGAAGAATTGTAATTTTTTTTTTATTTCCGCATCACTGGAGACTGCACCAAAAATGTGTATTGATATCATCGATGATTAAGTTAGTGGAGAGTGGTTGCATGCACTAAACTTGTAAATAGTAACTTACCATGGCTGAACACTATTTACAGTTACTTGCCAAAAGCTATACCTACTGAAAATAGTGAGCTATGTGTTAGCATCGCCTCTCTATCGCAGCTGCTTAGAAAAACAGCACTTTCTGGGTAATGTTCTTGTCATGCATGAAGTACAGGCTAGTGCATTGTTCAGGTAGGGATTCTCTCCCCTCCCCCCCCCCCCCTTTTTTTTAAAGCTGAGTGTTTCAAATACATGAACCATTACAAACTTTCAAAACAACTTTACATTAATTTTTGCACTATAGAAGTACTGTATCAAATATGCATTGTGAAACCGGTGTATTGGACCATCTGTTTATAAAGTGTGCGGGATTGATAAAAGCAGAGTTTGGTGTTTTAAGTACACAGGGTTGAGCGAATTTTTTAAAAATCGAAATTTGGTGTTTGCTTCTTCGCAATGATTAAGCCTTTCTCAACAGTATTCATTGCCCTATACATTTTTGTACGTTTTGATTAAACCAAAAGCACTGGGTTTTCAAGACTAACTGATGAGTTGCCAAGCCCCGTTTTCTCATAATGTGCACAGCCTAAGCTTTCTGCCTCTAGTGAACTAAAAAAAATCTTAACAGGTAGTTTTCTTGAGCTTGGCAGATTAAAATAAAAGTATTCTGGCTATCTAAAAGCACGTGGTGCAGTTTTTTGTAACACACATGGCGTTTACAGAGTTCACTTGCCTTGTGTGTGTGGGACTCGCATGGAGATGCGGTTCTGTGCATTTATATTGATATTAGTTGTGCCATTGTTGGTTTCGTTGCAGTGGCAGAAGATAGTATTGTGTTGATAAAGCAAAGAAACTGCTTATAAAGTCTGGTCAACATGCTTTCTCTACCAACATAAATTCAGGAGCTCTCATGTGAGCCCCTCAGCATTGTGTTGCCATAAGTACAGTGGCCACGCTTTGATTGATGTGGAGCTTTTACAAATCATTATTATGAGTAACTGTGTGTGCACATAATGCAGAGGAACTGGTGCACTCTTAGAAAACACAAGGGGTTGCATTGAAACCCTCGAAACTGCCACTTTTGAAGTTGTTATAGCTTTCAAAAAGCCTTCATGTCCCCTGTAAATGTTTTCAAAGCTGTTCGGCATTGCACCAAAGCACAACACTGTGACAAATGGCTAGGTGACATTGACTATCATCGGCAGTATTTTGCCAATAGAGAGATAGAAGAAATGATAAAACAAGCCATGGAACTAAACCAAGAAAACAAGAAAAATGAAAGGCTAATTCTTGTGATGGCTGTATATATATGGCAGGTTGCTATTAAATTGTACAGTATGTCTTATTTTTGAATAAAACATGAAGTATTTGTTTTTCCTCTTTTAAATGCTTGACATCTCGAAAACTGTTTTTTGTTACATTTGCCAAATTATCTAAACTTGGGATAAGCAGAAGGTTGATCTTTTTTTCACCGAAAATGAACCTAATATACATGCAAAAGTATTGAGCTAGAATGGTGTGCATATGTGTAATATTTTGAATTTTTTTATCAGTCTTATCTTTAAAATGTGAAAATTGCTTGCCTCAATAAAAAAAAATGGAAAAGTATCTATATGTTCAGTGCAATTGTAGTATCCCTGTCACATGTCCCAATTAAAGTGCACTTAAAGAGCGCGCATTTGGCCACTAGTGCCATTCGCGTGCTGTTGCATAGGTATGCTTAGTGACTATCACTGCAAAGCACGCTTCCCGGTCAGTGTGTTCATCAAACTCACTTTTCTGCAAAGAGTGTAAGCAGTGGCTTGGAAACAAGGACGGTATTATCCAAAACTGAATTCACATTAGTTTTTAAGCTATCATTTTTATTATTATTATTATGCATTAAAACATATTATAGCACAGACGCACTACTTTGATATTCTCTTTCTTAAGGAGTTTGCAACCACGGCCACCAGGGGCATGCGTAGTGCACGCTGTGCAGAGGCCGCATATTCCGTATTTGTACCTAATGTTTATTTTGAGGGTTGTTTATAGCTATAACAGACTATTACAGGAGAAACATTGTCTGAAATGGCAATAAAAGGACAGGTACCTGTCGCGCTACTTAAATATCAACCGTCATTACCATAATTTCCAGAGTGCACTTTTCTTTGTCATCTAGCAGCGCACCACCAAAGTGAAATTATGGGGGCTTGAGTGCACTTCACGAAAACGACACTAAGTGTGCCATTGTGACCGAGGCATAATTCTAGCTCCATTGCAAAATTAGACGCCGACGAATAAATTGGTGCAACATGGAACACTTTACATGTAGTAGTTCCAGAGAAAATGGGTCTTCAAAATGCCTCAATATACATGGGATTATAGGGCCTACCCCATGCCCTTAAAGCATACAGCAGTAGACCCTGCACATTGCTAGAATAAAACACATTTATTTATAAAGCCTCTTCAGTGCTGCATACTTGGTTTCCTTTCCTTGTGCTAATAAGTGCAGGTAAAGGCTGGCAACGGTTATTGTGAAATGCCTTGTATGTTAGTGCCAGTCTGTCTTTCCTTGTCTTTTTATCCATCTCTGTTTCTGTAAGCTTTCTCCTGGAAAGTAAAAAGGTGCTGTTTTCCTTCTGTTTGCTTCTGTTCTGTCTATTTGTTTATATTATAACTGAATGGTGTTGGGCAATGTTTAAACCATGAATCGTGTTGTCTATAGTGTTCTGCTACTGAGTATGAGCTTATAAGTTCAATACCCAACTGTAGTGTCCACATTCCAAAGGAAGTGTAACGCTAAAATGCTTGGGATGGTCGCATTAAAGAGTTCCTTGTGTGTTGAATTTATTTTGTTGCTCCTTGTTAATGACATTTATCATAACCAGCCAGTTGATTTGGGACGGCCTACGTTGAAATTTGATGTCTTTAAAACAATCTTTTTTGCAGTGTTTGTGTAAGAAGTGAGTCCTGAGAAGGTAGGCAACGCCCAGGAGGGGCTGGGCAATGCAGTCGGTATTGGCATGGTCCCCGCTTGATCGTCGTCACTTCTCATACTACCCAAGCCAGCTGCTGCACAAGCGCATCGCAACCGACCCTCTGGCCCCCATTGGGGCCACACCAGCCTCAACGGCTGTCTCGCCTCAGCAGAGCCTCAGGTGAGCTGGCAGGTCAAGTTTTGACTCACCAGTGGGAAAAACCACTCACTCAATGATTTGGCTGACCCAGAAGATGTTATTAACTGCCTGACTCGCAAAGGTAGTTCAGGCTGTTAACCACATGTAGCTGAATGTCTGAATGCGAAAATGAGCACAATGATTTATGTTTGATCAACTAAATGCTTATTGTTTGGCAATTGGTGTGCCCGGAGCACTGGAGTGATGAAACATGAAATTACGTTACTGCATGTAAGTGTACTAACAAAGCTCCAAAAAAGCATGGAGGCATATTAATAGTCGATCGTAAGTAGCACAATTATTTTTTTATGACATTTGTAGCCGTCTTACTTCTTGAAACTGTCGCGACCCTGGTGCTCTATCCTCCAATAATGAACACTGCCAACTCGTCAGCTGTACATTCTTTTGGAATGCCTGTCATTAGAATATGGCATTGTATGTGCATAAATGGTCGAGCATGAAGTAGAATCAGCGTAGTGTCCGTGACTATCTATCGGTCATTGTATGAATCTGTGCATGTTTGGCCATGGTAGCTCGCCAGCTCCCACTGGCTTTGAGGAGAAGCGCTCCTCCACTTGGTAGTTTCCAAGGGTTAATGTTTAGTAGCTGAAATTTCCAGATGTGTTTACTAAGAGCAACGCTCACCCGCCGCGGTGATCAAGTGGCTTATGTACTCAGCTGCTGACCCGCAAGTTACGGGATGGAATTTCGGCCACGGCGGCCGCTTTTTTGATGGAGGTAAAAATGCTTGAAGACCATGTTTCTAAGATTTAGGTGCACTTTAAAGAACCCCAGGTTGTTGAAATTCCTGGAGCCCTCCACTACGGCATGTCTTATAATCGTATGGTGGTATAGGTACGGTAAACCCCAACAATTATTATTAATATAAAAGACTGCTAACGCCCCTGTAAACCTGTTTGCACTGCGTAGCGCACGTGTCTCGCCCAAAAGCTGCATTTTGGGTTACAACTATCGGGCGATAGGTGGCGTTATGTTCGCGTTGATCATCACTATCATGGTTGGTAGAGTTTTAGTGCCGATGGTGACCCCTGGCAGAAGGCAAGCCTTGGTGGCGGGCGAAAGTTGAGCGAGTCTCTTCTGCGTGTGGTGGTTGCGCGAACGGTTGTCTTTAGCGTGGGTCCCCTGTGCCTGGCACCGGGGGCTGCACATCTGGAGCCCTCGTGGTAAGTCAAGCGTTCGCGACGCCGCCTTGGGTGTGTTATTGTGTTTGTCATGTTATTGTGCGTTTGTCGTGTTATTGTGTTTGTCATTGAGTGTATGTTAATACTGTGTACGGATGTCCTAGTGTGTTGATAACGACTGATGTATCGATTCGGTGGACGATATCATCGTTGTAAATTAGTTAAATCAATGTATGTTGTTTGGTTTGTACCAACCGGGTCTGCTGTGTCCGTTCACTCCAAGAGCGTGGTGATGGCGCTCACCAATTTCGAGACCCCACAAAAGACACTAACCATTTAATTAAATGGTTGGCACTATACTCTGGTCTGTGTAGTAGGGGAGGATCTTCATGCTGTGGGACACTTCAAACTGCGACTTGCGACAATGTGCAGCTCACGGTCGTCGTGCACAGCCAAACGGGCACTGTAGTGCGGGATCCATGTGGCTGTGCAACGTGCATACTGGCAGACTGTACCCAGCTTGCCCGGGCCAGTTGGGCTTTCGTTGTTGTTGAGATAACATGAGGTTTTTTTTTTTTTTGCAGGAAAGCACCTGCTGTTCCGAGCGAGCCATCTGCCGCCCAGGGCCTACAGGCACCAGTGGACGACCACAGTGTGACATACGCTGGTGCGAGCGAATTTACCCCGAGCTTTAGGGAAGGAATGACTGGCCTGTTGACAAAGCACGCAAGCCCTGGCTCGCAAGCTCAGGTAAGTGACCTTTCTGGTGTGCCTTGCCTTGCAACATTTGTGGGGCTACCAAGCACTTCACATGTAGTCAAATGAAGGTTTAAGAAAATAAATGGCTACCTCACGCTTACACCAGCCTATTGATATGCAGCCACAAGACTGTGCGTATTTGCAGTGTCTCGTGGTGACCATAATCTGGCAACACCTCGAGGGTAAACTTGGCACCACAAGTGAACGATAGCTCTTAACGCCTAGTTTTTCCCTGCGATCTCCACTCAGAGTTCTCACTCTGAGTGGAGATCGGCAGATGGCTCGCTCGGAACAGCAGGTGCATTTGTAAGGTGCTAAGCGACAAGGAAAACAAAGAGGAACTGTGTACTTGGACTTACTCTGACAAGTTGTCTCGCTCTCTTCCTCATTTGCATACTTTAATCTCCCTGTGGTGGCCCTGATGTGTAAGACTTAGCCACATACTCACCTGGTTCCCTGTTGCCAATGCAGTGTGGCCAGATTGTGACCTCTTAATAAGCATCAAGACCGAACTGTTGCCTAATTAGTTTTGTGTACCGTGCAGCCACGCAAAGAGATGAAATTTGTGTAGGCACAGTCAGTGTTATTGCAGGATTGCACATTGATTTGCTTTTCTCAGTTATTTTTTTATTTGCAATCCTCGCAGTTTTTGTATGTGCATTTGCATTGTGCCTTTCATTGAGCAATTCATACACAGCGAAGTGCCTTTAATACATATGTAAGCTTTCCTCAGCCTTATTCTTCTGTTATGGTAATTAGCCATTGTACAGATTTTGACCTGAAACCCAATTTGCCTCGTGAAAATTTTAGCTTGTGTAATAATGTTGGCACTCCTAAGTCTCAGTCGACTTTTCAAGAAAGAAAGTAAGATTATGTGAGTAACTACAGTAGTTACATAGACCTTTGGTTGCCTTTTATGTAGCATCTGAGTAACTTCCTAGTATAAAATGAATATTACAAGGTTTATAAGAGGGTTGTCCAAAAGTAGATATATCAAGTCAAGTATTAACCGTAGTCGGTTCTTAATTATGTGTAATTAGTAAATACATGCACTGCAATGGCAATGAGTTGGGCTGCCTGCAGCCATAAATTGCTGGAGGCTTATGAAAGCTGTGAAAGGTGCCATACAGAACAATTAAGCAGTATTTGCGTGGTTGTTGGGGGAACCCTGCCTGTGTCTGAATGCATGCTGCAGAGTCTCTGCTGTCAGCAAGACTGCTAGCGATGGGCTCCCTCGCGTAGTGTTGCATGACAGGCCGTCGCTTGCACCACGTGCTCGTGAAAGAAGGGGGCTTCCTATGATCACTTAGAGAGAAAAGTGGTGTGGCAGCACTGTCGAGTACATGTAAATGCTGGCAAGGGAGGTTTTGGATTGGCATCTTACTCGGAGACTGTGAAGTTATTAGTTGTAGCAAAGGGTTTGTGGTGCTTCTGATCCGCCACATGGAATCTGATGTTATGGTGCTCGTTTGTTGACCCAAAGGTCGTGGGTTTGACCCCGGTCTTGGCAGTCGCATTTTGGTGCAGGCAAAATAGTAGGAGCTCTTTTACTGCATGATGCAGGCACACGGTATACTGGATGGTTGAAATTTTCAAAGCCCTCCACTACGGCAATCCCCATAATCATATAGTGGTTTTCGGATATAAAACCCAACATTATAAAATTGCGATGCTTCTCACCAATAAAAAATCAAACTGGATGCAAATAGACCACATTTGATATCTGTTGATCATGGCATATTTGAATTTCTAGTGCTAGCATGTAGGGCGAATCCAGGAAACAATTGGATCAGGATTAGTGAGGGACAAACGATGTGTCGCAGTGGTTTATCATCACAGCAGTTGAGGCACTGATACATACGTGCACGAAGCAGTGCTTTTTTTTGCTGCATCACTGTTTAAGATATAGCAAAATGTTACCACTCTCATGAGGGTGTGCAGTTATATTTGAAATGCAAAAAAGCAAAAATTCAGCGAAAGAAGCTTCAAGAACAGAACAATTTGTGAATGCGGGGTGTTGCTAGAGCCAACGTTTTGACAAGCCGAGTTTTGTCTTCTTTGAGAGGGGAACGTCCTACTCTAGCTTATATGCATGTACATAAAGGAAACACTTGCATGCACAGCATGTGTAGATTTCACAAAAGCATAGTGGCTTAGATTTGCACATGATTACAGGTGATCGACAGTTCTGACCCCTTCTGGCAGACTAGTGTTGTGCGTAAAGATAGTTTCCTTGTCCACTTGCTGTTAGAGGGCTGGCAGTGTGAACGGTGCTAATTGCCGGGTTCTTCTTGAAACAGTAGGCCTTACTCCACATGTGCATACATGCGCTAAGTTAGGTAGTTTGCAAGGTTGAAGAAGACATGTTTGTATGTCAAAATATTGGCTCCAGCGACACTCCTTGTTCACAAATGTTTAATCTATATTTCAGCAGTATTGCATATATATGCTGTCGAGAGCCACAGCAGAGGTCGCAAGATCTGCAATTGTTCTGTGTGATTAGGAAGCATGCTATCGCTAGAAGTATGGCAGGAGAGTCAGGATTGAGGCATGTCTTCTCCAAAAAAAGTTTGCTTAGACACGTTGTTGGTACTGTGTCTGTATCCTCCTTCATTGTCCTTGTCATAATCTGCAATTCCGTATGTATTATGACTCCAAGAAAGCCATATTTTGCAGCTGTCAACATATTTTAGGCTTGCATGTATTCAAACCAAACAGAATCTTCATTGTACCAGAGGTCTCTTAATCGGTCGCAGCCCTCTCTTGTGGAACTTGCACAGATGGCGATGCCACTTTTCTCTCTGTGTTATCTTTGGAAAGCTTTGCGGAGGAAGGTGGACGACAGCACCAGGAGGCACAGTGGTGGACGGGTGGGTGGGTGCTTGTTGGCATGGGGGTTCCTCCACCGTGTGCGTGTTTGTGCGTGTCGGGCACCCAGGAAAGCGGTGCCCTGATGGCAGGTGGTGCTGGCCGAGAGGACGACTGGCAGATGCCGTGCCTGGAGCCCTCGCCCGAGCTCCGGTCTGTGCGTAGTGCTGCCAAGCGCTGGGGGCCCCGCTCGCCCGAGATGCCCATGCTTGTGCCAGCAGTAAGCAAGGCAAGTGATGACCACAGAACAAAAGTTGTCAATCTTTTGCTGAGATATAGTAATTATTTTCCTAAATGCGTACGAAGGTTGCAAGTTTTGCTTGTTTCAATCTAATTTAGTCGGGCTACCTTGTGTTTTACACGAGCTGCGGAGGCACTTTAAAATTTATGATATGACAAAATTTGACACAGTTGCTCTATTATGTAGTGAGCAGTGTAGTAAATGGCAAAACTGAGACTAGCAGGACACTGTCTGCTGACTCAGCTTTTTAGCAAGTTCATTCAGAAGCAGTGCAGTAAATATAGATTATTTTCTGCAGCTGGCTTGGTGAAAGTAAGTAATTGTTCTTATTTCCTTTTGACACAGGGCAGGCGTTTCATGTGCCACAGGAATAAAAATAAGCCATAAATAAATAAATAAATAAATAGTTGGTCTGTTGTTTGTGCACTGGCCAGGCGTCCCTACATCACTCAGAGTTTTCTCAATGCGCGTGCACACACACACACGAGGAGCTCTCAATGGTGTGGTGAAAGTCGAGCCAAGCCAAGACAAGCCGTGTTCCGCGCCTGCGCCATTCACGTGGTTTAAGCCTGGATGTTTACGTGTTGGATCACTTTAGTTTGCCCAGACTCATCGAAACCGGGTGACGGGTTGCCGGTGCGCGGGGTTGAAGAAGAGCAGGGTGCGTGGGGCGTTTTCCTGGCCAATCTGTTTTCGACCCCTCTGTTAAATCGGTCCCAGCGTACCTGGAAAGTCTTCATGGAATTTACCCAGTCGAAAGGGTTTCATCTGTATGGCCCGACAGTCCCAAAAGTTCCGGCAGACTTGGCAAGGTGCGGGGCACATTATGCAGACGGAGGCAAGCCTGTAGAACATGGGTGATTGTTTCTTCGGCTACTCCACACAGGCGGCACGTCGGGATGAAGTCGAAGAGTTCATGGTGTCGTTGCTGAGTCGCCAGAGAACACTGATCCTGGAACAGTAGCCACTGTAGTAGCTACTGGAACAGTAGCTCGCTGGAACAGTAGCTTGCTGGAACAGTAGCTGCTGTTCCAGCGAGCCTTGGAACAGTAGTACACTTGATTTGTTTCTTCTATAATGAGGTTCGGTGCCCGGTGCCAATTTATGTGACGCATAACACGATAGGCTGTGTCTCTTGGTGACCGCTTTACGCCTGTTGTCCGTGCTTATCCGGGTGATCCATTCGCTCTCTTCCTGGTGCACCATTCACTTTCTGTTTTAGTTTGTTGGAGCATTAGGTTTGAGCCGAATTTTGATTCTAATGTTGCAAGTAGTTGCATCCAGAGAGTTGTAATGCCTTTGTATCGCAGGTGTAGGTATATCCATCTGCTGAAATTGGTTTCTGACAGGAATTTCAGTCTGCCCATGTACTGGAATTTTGACTTTGCCTACTGAATTTTGAATGGTGACCACCCCATTTCACCTGTTAGGGCAGCATTTGGTGTACACAAGTTTCCCCCCAGCAACCACCGCCCCAGTTTGTTTCGATGTCTGTTTAAGCACTTCATGGTTTCAGTTGGGTGCATGAGTGGGTCTTAGCATGCGTTGTCGCTGGCACAGCGAGCATTTTCCACAAAACTCGACCAACCGAGTTCAGGTTGTATTAGTTTCGGGAAAGATGCCACACCCTGCCTTATAGGCGGTTCGATTTCCTTGTAACGAATTCGGATTGTTGTTGCAGGCATTCTTTTTGCTCCGATGTTTCAATTCCGAGGTATCTATAATTTGTCGTTTTCTTTATACGGTTTTCTTGCAGTGTGAATGTCACTGTGAGAGTCCGACTTCAGGACCATCTATTGAATCTTTTCAGTATTGAACTTGAAGTGGTCCTCAATCGCTATTTGTGAGCAGATATTTAAGAAGTTCTTTAGGTTTGTTGCCGATTCAGCCAGTGTCATTGTGTACAGTGTCATTGGCAAATGCCATTAATGAGACTTTTCTGTATTCCTCTCGGCGATCTGTTATTATTGTCGATAGTCTCAGTCCAAGGGGCAGACTGGTCTTTGGGACCAAAAAGTGACAATAAAAAATTCATTTTTTACAAATGACATATTTTGTTTCTGCGAGTATTTTTCTATCTCTTTGCAAATTTTTACCCACCAGGAAGTGCTAATTTTTTTTGTAATGTCATTCTAACTGTTCAGATTTTTGGTGCTGTTAACACGCAAAACCTGCAAAAATAAGGTGAACCGACTTTGGGGCTTCTTTTTAATTTGCCGGCACCTGTGTTAGAAGCTCTGCTACGAGTTTATAAGCACCTTTATGAGCATTGCAAAACATGCACACCATGATTGTTGCTTTTTGAAGAAGCTGTGTGTTCTCAGTTTGTTTTTTTTCATTTTTCTAAAAAAAAAGTAAATTTACGACTGTTCAATTTTGAGGCCTAAATATCTCTGCAGCTAGGGCAGGTGCAACAATAATTTCATTTGCAATGGAAACCTATATGTGTGTAGAATGCAAGTGTGTGAGCAGAATTTAAAGCCCAAGCCTTTCTAATTAATTACTCATCAAAATTGTAACAATTCCAACTGTTTTTAAAATGGATAGTTCATTTTACTACAAAATAATCAAAAAAGGCTTAAAAACAACAAAAAACTTGCATACTTTCAATATATTGCCATTAGTCTATGTGGGCATATCTTAAATATCATTTTTAATTAGGCACTTTTTTCTATGGCAGCCTTAAACAATAGGGGTGAACTTAAGCTATCTCAGGAACAAGTTGAGTTACAAGAAAACTAATTAAATATTTGAATTCAGCAGAAAAAATGGAATAATCCTGTGTAGTTTGATCAATATCACTGAAGAAATGAACAAAAAAATGTCCAAGACCAGTCTGTTCCTTTAAGTATTCTCAAAAGGTTATTTATATATATATATATATATATATATATATATATATATATATATATATATATATATATATATATATATATATATATATACATACTAAATAGAGTTGGTGATAATGGGAATCCCTGCTTTAGACCCATTTTTAAGGTCGCTTTTTGGGATTTGTGGCCATGTAGTTCATATATTGCGGTGCAGTTCTCAGCAATTCTGTAAATTCCTTATCCAGAGGCACTTATCAAGATTTTGCCATAGTTTCGCATGTGAAACCAAATCTTAGGCTTTTTCCAGGTCTAGGAAGGCGAGGTAGAGTTATTTTTCTTTGTGCTTCATTTCTATCGCTTGAGTGAGAGTGAATATGTGGTCACTTGTGTGTCTCCAGGGCCAGAAGCCATTTTGTGATTTACTGAGTATGTTGTTTTTTTCACACTAAGTTTGTAGTCTGCAATTTAAAATTGTACTGAAGAGTTTAAAGACGTTGCTGAGCACTGCTATTGAGCGATAGGCAATGATGTCATTTTCTGCTTTTCTTTGCCTTTGTGGATAACTTGTATACGAGCTTCTTTACATGTTTGTGGTATGTTGTGGGTTTCTAGAATATTGTTGAGCAGCGCTTCTCTGGCATTTTTACGTAGAGCTTTTAAAAATTCCTTTGGGATATTGTCGAAGCCAGATGCTTTCTGTTTTTTTTATGGTACCAATGCGTCTTTTTAATTCTCCATTTGTGATTTTCCTGGTTAGAGTTCCGGCTTCTTTTTGTTTTGTAGATCAGCCTTCTATTGTGTTATTTGTGAGCTGGTGCACTGGTGTGTCGTAATCTGCTTGTACAGATCTAAAAGGGCTGCAGCGTCAATTGTTCTATATCTTTTTTTACGTGAGTACTGGTACCATCCCGTGTTTGGAGAGAGACAATCTTGGGTCGGGCCTTCTTTGGTTCCATGTTCTGAATATATGTCCAGAACTTCTGGCTGTGATGTTGACGTTCTTTTCTTATTTGGTCTTCTTGTTGCTTGAATACTCTATCTTTTATGCAGCCTTAATCTTGACTACATCCTTTTGGGCCAGGTATTTTTCCCAGACGGCATCTTTGAGAATAATGTTCTCACCTGATGTGTGGTGATGTTGTCCGGAGAGTTTCTTTCGTTCTTGTATCTTCTGTTTTAGTTCTTTGTCGAACCATGGTGTCGTCCGTGTTCTGTTTTTTCCACTTGTTTTCCCGATGGTGTTATTTGCCACTGCCAGACATTTTTCAATTAATTTTTTATATGTGAGGGTGTCCTCCATGGCCTGATTCAACTCTTCTGCAAAGGTTTCAAGACGTTCGTTGTCTCTCACTCGCCAGTGTGGATTGGTCTGCTCAGTTGAATTGTTCGTATGGGCTTACTTTTGTTTTAGGGTTACTGTAATTCGGTTGTGATCACTTCCAAAGTTATTGTATTTCTCTTCATCTATTTGCATGGATGTTATACGTATGTGCTACGAGGCCTTGTCATTGTAGAGGACGTAGTCAATAGCTGACTTGCTTGATCTACGTGACCAAGCGTATGTTCCCCTGCACGTAGAGGCGAATAGAATCGCGTGGAGAGCGCCAGTCTTCCCATTGCTCTATCCAGGGAACGTTGCAGGGCGCGCGTTCCAGGTTGGCTATGTGTAGGTTACATTGTTTGACCAGCCTTCGAAACTCAACTGCATTTTTCTCATAGCCTTCCAGTACAGTTATATGGCTGTTGAAGTCACCTATAAGGAGGATGGGTTTGTTCTTATATATTTGTTCTATGTCTTTTTAATGCAGTTACAGATTTCTTCATTTCAAGTTTGTTCTGAACCGGTAGCTATATAGGCAACACATATGTTAGGTGGCTCTTATCGAGTTTCGCAGTAGTCCACATGTGTTCTTGGCAGGTATCCTTTCCCTCTTGTGTGGTCTGGTCTTTTGTTATGAGCCCAACTCGCTTTCCTCATTTTCGCCCTTTTCTCCTGGTCTGGCCGAGCCAACTGAGTACTGTGTGTAAAAAAGGTTTTACCTCGTCTTGAAGGTGGGTCTCTGTAAGAGCGTATGTGATGATGCATTCCTCGTCCATCTGATTCTGTAGCTCTTCCCACTTGAGCTTACTGCTTCTTTACGTGTTCATTAGGCAAATTTTGAAATCTTTTTTCTTTATTCTTGCTTTTTGCTTTATATGTCTCTTCTTGTGGTTTACTTACGCTTGTGTTTTTTCTTTCTTCGCGTGGACTGGCCAGGGCGTTTTTTTTTTTTTTCACCAGCGACGATTCAGTTGGCTAATTCGTGCAAATTCTGTTGTCATAGCTTTCAGGAAGGCTCTCATTGTGTGGTCGTGTCTCGGTGGGTGTCGATGGGCTTGTGGGGGACTAGCTTGGTGTTCCTTGTTCACCCCTAAAAAATTGGTGACGCTCATAGCCAGGAGGTGCCCAACTTGTGTGCCTGTGGCTTCCGTGTAGTGTATGCCCTTGAGGTAGCCTTCATCCATTTGGCCTGTAGCTGAGAAGAATTCTACCCGGGGACCAAGCTTGGCGCATAATTCGTTGGCTTGTTTGTTCCACTCTCGGCAAAAGGCTACCACGTGTGGTCCTCGTGGTGTCAGTTCTGGAGTTGCACATAAAATAGTGGTGTTGGGGAGCATCTTGACTCCAAGTCGTCAGTTTCTGCTTTAACTGTTCTATAGATCTGTGTGGCTCTTTTTCATGCAGTATGTCGGTAGAACCAACATGTAGAATTAGTTTGAGCTTAGTTTCAGGTGAATTTGTCGCCTCTATTTCAGCTCGAAGCAGGGTTTGCTCCATTGTTGCTCCTGGTTTCATTGTGATGCGGAATCTCCAATCACTAACATCCTTGTAGAGCTAACGTTTCAGGCAATGAGCATTTGAGTCTTCGAGCAACACTGAGCGTCTACGTTGTGTCTGTGTGTCCCTCTGTTAGGTTGATTCCACTTCTCTGGAGCTAGTTTCGTTTTGGTACTTCGTGTTGTTACTTTCTCCCGTGTGGGGTTCTTTATGCGATTGTTTTTTCCCACCTTCAGCCATGGACCTCCTGTTCTGTCCTCTTCGGTTTCATCCTTTGTCATAGAGTTGTTTAATGCTTTGGTGTGGTCTTGTTGCTCTGGGTCTTGGTGTTGTGCTCAATCTGAACTAGATGGCACCACTGCTATGTAGGGGGTCTTTTTACCGTGCCTTCTGGCTGCGTTGCTCAATGTGGTTCTATTCGTATCGCGTCGTCTGCGCACGAGAGTATAAGCGAACAGACAGCAGCGCCAAAAAGGTTGACATGGTGGCACCTGTAGATGCAGTTTCCTTACACCTCGAACTAATCACGTTGTCGTTCTGTGCTGTGTGGCCCACAAGTTCACAACTAACGCATTTATTTGCTTTCTGTTTATGTACTGAAGCTTCGAGAGCAATGTACTCGTCGGTACTTTGCAGTGTTTTTAAGATTCATTATCAGATCGTTGCAGACAAGGCTTGGCAGGCATGGCTAAATAAACACCATTAATCTCGGGAATGAAGAGAGAACATACCTGATGCTTTGTCCCTAGCGTGCGATGACACTAAGTGATAGCTGATTTCGCCATTTATTTATTGCAATGAAGGCAGTGGGCGAGTAGCAAGCGCAGGTTCAGATCGAAGTGGGCGGTTGCGATTACATGGGTGCTGCCATGTTGGCTTCTAACCCCTGCTTCTGGTACTTACGACCACAGCCGCTTCACTGGCTCAATGTGTTGGCTGGGACCTCTTACGGGAGTAACAGCCTGGGAGGAGGCCAGTTATGGTCATGTGATCAAACATGACAGCGCCTGTGCGCTGCTGTGGAAAATTGTCTATAGTTCAGAACAAGTAGTCATCGGGGAAGTCTTCAGAGTTGGCTGAAAATTTTTCTTTTATGCAAAAAGGGCGCGCAGAGAAATGAAAACACAAAGACACCATTACCAAATCTTTGAATTGACACACAGGCATGGGCTCTATGCATGCACTAATACATTTGCATGATGAACACATATGACACAAGCATGACTACTTGATATATTTCTCATGTACTAATAAATGTGACCCACTCTCAAGCTTTTCTTCACATATTAGACGTTATTACAGGCTTGTCGCCCATGCAGACTGAATATTCTTCAGAGGTGGACTTGTTTCAAGTTATATTATTGATATACTAAGGGTGTGTCGAGCAGTTTCAGTGCTTGGGTTGCAAAACTAATCTGAATAAATAAGACTGCTGTGCATTTTTATGTATTTTTTTTCAGGGCTGCATGTGCATGCGTATGCAATTAGGAGCCCATGTGCGCTTTTTTCGTGACAGCTTATAGGCTCTTCCCAATTTCAGTACACTTTTCCTTAAGGCACCAGTGTACTGTGGCAAAAGTGAATATAAAGGCCAGTGAATAGGATATGACTTTTTTTTTTACACTTCCCAAAAAAGTTTGCTCATTAATAGGCAATGCTGTGGGAATTGCATTTTGGGAACATCACAGCATCGCGTGCCGTGCAGACGCTCTATTAAAAAACAAAAACAAAAACAACGATTCCCACAACCCTTTTCTGTTACTGACTAGACCTCTTCACCTGCTAATGAAACTGTGCCTTGGCCCTGCAGCATAGCTTGGCAAACTCACTCGTGAGCCAAGTCACTCAGACTCCGATTAAGTGTGAGTGTCTGAGCGAGCCTAGGTGAGTGATATTTTGGCGAGTTTGAGTCTGAGTGAATCCTGTTGAGAAAAATTAGGGTGAACCTGAGTCCAAGTGAGTTCAGTTGAAAATTTTGGTGCGCCTGAGGACGAGGTAGCCCTAAGCACAACATAGATTTATTGAGTCTGAGTGAGCTCCATTTCTTTTGTTGCCCTGTGGTCTTATCTACTCAACTTCTTCCTTATGTCAGCTCACATTTATACTCACATCTCCTCACAGATACTTCAATGCAGCAGCGTCCATACGCCAGTTCAATATTTATTGACTAGAGGCTTGAGTGCTGAGTGAGGAAGGGGGAGGTGGTGCCTTGACCTCCACATGTAAACTCTTTTTCATATATAAATCTGTTGTGTAAGTCATCTCTTCCACTAAATATGTCCTTACTGGATTGTAACAACTGGTGGCTCATATTTGAAGGTACAATATCGAAAAGTGCCCCATAAAGCATCGATTATGTGAGATATTGGTTAAAAAAGCTAGTTATACACCAACAGATGTAGGAGCTGATTTACTCTAACTCATATTGAGTCATGATTATGAGTCTTAGTGAATAATATTTTGGTGAGTGAGTGACTCTGGTTGGGAAAATTGTCTGAGGATGAGTGAGTTCGGCTAAGCAGAATTTTGGCGAATCTGAGCTGTGGTGAGCCTGAAGGACAAAATTTTTCGCTGACCTAGTCTGCGGTGGTGTGGTTTTGGCAGTGCAGTTGGTGTGTGTGTGTGGCATATGTGCTTAAGTTTTCAGCACCTTTCAGTGTTTGTTTCTCTCCATGTTGACTGCGAGTAATTGACGCGAGCAAGATTTGAGGAAGCTTTGATTATTGTTGGCTGCGCACTGATGACGAAATCCTTGATGCCAGTGTTGTGTTGCCAGAATGGGCGGCGAAGTAAGGTGGTGAGGCCGAGTTAGAAACTGAAACCAGGCAGAACAGTTCTTTTATCCTCTGTAGCTTCATTATTCCATCATTTATTTCCAGAATTCTTGCAGTAGCATGTTCACATCGTACTAGTGTGCAGTCATCTCTTAATTGCAGATGTTGGATTGTGGGGTTGTTTACTGGCCTTTTAAGAAGCATTGCGCAGGTGATAGACCGAGGCCACGGCGTCCTATTCTTTTTTGCTCAATCAACACACAAATTCGAGGCAGGCAGTATGGCTAATTTGCCACTTTGACATGTGTACGCAGGTAATGAGCTTTACTTGGGATTCGTGGTGACAAGAATGCAGACGTTCAGCCAGAAGTATTAAAAAGAAATTTTGCTGCTCAGACGAGCAAAAAGCATTAAGTAACCAATTTACACAATAGAGCATGTTAAATTATGCGGCGTTGAACTACCTTGAAAACATCGAGAGCAAACTAGAAACTTTAAATTTGTTTGAATTATTGATGTTAGTGTTCTTGCTACTGTGCTTGTTTTTGGCCATGCAGATGTTAGTCATTATGTCATTTGAGAGTCGTGTGTGGAGAGCATGTCAGTAAATTTCACAGCACAGGTTGCACAAGGGAAGTGCTTGGAAGTCTTGGTGCTCTTGGGATGACATGGGCTGTCTGTGTTTAACTCTTGGTGGCTTTCCCATTGTTTGTGTGGAAAGAGAAACCTTCACGCAGTGACTCAATTTTGCTTTCTTTTGATGGCATTTTCTTAGTTGTAAACTTATTCTGACTGATCACTTGATAATGGGGTACTCTGTAGGCACCTACCATTTTTTTTTTTGTTTCTGCAAAGTGAGTGTCAGCACATGAACACACACACCAATGCATTCGTGTACTGATAGGCTCATTACTTCTGCTCAAATGCTGTAAAAGTAGAGTCTTTATTCCAATGGTAGTTCTTGTACTTGTAAAGCTATCTTTAAATGTAAATGCTCTACTACACTCAGCTTGTGTACATTTGTGGCAGCGATGCTTGTGTTCGATCAGGTTTATGTGCATCTGCTGTTCGGCTGTGTGTTAGGTGGTAGTTTGTGCATTTATTATAAAATGTCTTTATTTTTATTGGGAAAGCACAGCAAAACATTGTCGGGGAACATTTCTGAATAAGCACTTTGTAGCTAAACCACATTCCATTTCAGGGGCCTGCAGAGGAGGCTGAGGAGGTGGTGTCCAGGCAGACGCAGCTTCTTCTTAGCCGATTTCAAGGAAGTGTAGAGGTGGACAGTATTGATGGTTTGGACTTCTATAGTTTCTCCAGTGTGGAGGACCTCAACGAGTTTGCACGTTCCATGGACCAACTACTTGAAGAGCAGTATCAAGAGCCACGCTCCCAGGACGAATCGGTGTCTTCATCTGAGGCGCGGTCTGGCGCAGCCGATGAGGAGTGGCGCGAGACGGACTGGGCAGAAGAGAGGCAGCCTGTGGTCGTGCTTCCGCGCAAGACGACAGACATTACCAAGATAAAGGGGTGGCGGCACAAGGCATTTGGTCCCGACCAGACTGTGGACCAGGCAGCGGATCACACGACACGCTGGGTCATGGAGCAGATGAACGAACAAGCGTGGCGCCAGGAGGAGGAACAGAAGCAGGAGCCGCCGGCACTGATGACGCGGAGAGCTACTGCTGCAGCGGCTGCTGCAGCGGCAGCAGCGAGCGGGCACCAGGTGTCGGCGTCAAATCAGGCAGCACCCCAGCCTGAAGCAACGATCAAGATTGATAAACAGGAAAACCTGCAGGGTCAGTAATTCATTTGCTTCTTAAAGATTGGTGTGTTAAGCATATTTCTTATTGTTCTCACTGCACTTGATTAGGAGACCATGGTTGCAGTTTAAATGTCATGAATTCATTTATGTGTAGTTATTGCACATGCATACCTGCTAACTCTCCCGAATTGTTCGGGAGACTCCCGAATTTTAAATTAATCTTCCGATCGTATGAATGTTTTCTCAGATCTCCCGAAAAGTGGTCGCCACAGCAGAGGCTTTTTTTTTTAATAATGGCACGTGCATTGGCCTTTTCTGCGCACACCACACACCACCAAACTAAAAATTAATTGTAACCATACTATACAAAATTGCTAAGTATATTCTAGGCACTATAGTACCGCACATCTGGGCGAAGGCCGGCGGCCAAGAGATGCACTCATTACCATATCGAAAGAATATGAGGAAAAAGGTACCACAACTTTTGCGTCCGTCTGACTTGGCCTCTGCGTATCGCCCACTAGGCCTACACCGTTAGCTTAGGCATCAGTCGTGTTTATTTAGGGGTTGTTGGTGTTACGAGTTTTCCTGAGTTCAGTTAAGGAAAGAAGTACTTGCAAGTGATTCTGGGCTCGTACACAGCCGAGTTTTCATGCTTTATGATTTTTCAAAAAGGGGACAAGTACGGATTATGTACCATGTGCACCTGCAATGTAAGCGTTTCACACAGCAGCATGGCCAAGACAAGGTGCGCAATGCTTCACGGAAGCATGAGAATTACATTTCATCTGCGGAACAGCAGGATATCATCAGGAGTTTCTTTTAAAAGAGCTGTGAAGACGGTGCGATTTGCACACAATGCTCATTCACAGGATTTCTCCCGGAACACAACTTGCCGCTAAGCGTTTGTAATCACGCAGGACCGTTATTTCAGAAAATGCTGGCAAAATGTGAGGATGCAGAGGATTTTAGGTGTGGATGTACGAGAACAACTGCCATTGTAGGGAAATGGCTGCTTATGAAAAAAAAAGAACACACAATGATGCAGGCTTTGAAATACCATGCTTTCACACTCGCAGTAGATGTAAGCAATGACAGCGGGTGGCAAATGTTTCAGTCTCAGCAAGTACTGAATAAAAAAAAATCACCTGTTACCGTATAAACTGGACTATAGGTCGAATGGGATTATAGGTCGACCCCCCAAGTGCTGGTTACCGAAAAAAAAAAAAAGGAAAACAACCCAATATTGCCGAACGACATTTATTTGCGAATTGGGCGCACTGCACCCCGATCGTCGAAGCTCCCCTCAACCATCATCGCAACTGTTTCTATTTGCGTGACATTTGCGAAATGTGATCGACCAGATAAAGTAACAAGGCCACGCGCTGTTCGGTCCGCTGACCGCAGATGATGCGAGGAACTTCGAAAAAAAATGCATTGCCGTAGCACTGGCAGTAACACTTCGCGGGAAATATGGATTTCTAAGTGACCAAACCAGGTTTTGGCATATTAGGAACTAAACCTGAAAGCATACGTGCTGCGAACGCTGGCTTTGTCGGCTACCACGTTGGTTGCCATAACAACAACAGATACGATAGATATGCGGTGCCATCGCTGGGCCAGTGGGCGCATGCCGGTATTACCTCATCTAGTCAAACACGCCTTGCAAGTGAACCACGTTGCAAAAAAAAAAAAAGGATGGGTGGGGGGAGGGGCTCTAGAGATTTGAAAATTTCTTGGTCTTGTTCTAACTTGTGCAGAACGCCACTTAAGCCACCTTTGCTGCTGTACACTGGTAGCCTGCAGAAAAGCGTTTTAATACATGGGAAGGGCTGTTAGCGTAAGTCATTGGACACAGCACAGTTTGTTCAATTACTCATCCGTGTATGTGCAGCGTAATTGTGGGCACTAGTATGATCGCTGACGTGTATAAAAGTTACTGGCAATCATTTGGAACTCTGTATAACATTCATGCAGCCCTAAAAATTTAAACAAAACTGTGCGCCAAAGTTTTTATTTTTTTATTTTTTTTGTGCTGCTACTTTCCTTGTCACCACCTTGGCAGATTCATATTTCAATCCTCAGAGTCTGTCAAAGGATTAGGCCCATGTGGCATATGCTAATGCGGACTTTATGGGGTGGTCCAAATACTTTTTTTCTTGAAATAGCAGTGCTCATATTCACTCTGCTCGATTTAGGGCATGTTGAATGGTCTTCACATATCTTTTTTTTATAAATGTAAGCCTTCTTTTTTTTATACTGCCCCAAATTTGGTCTTTTGCGATTAAAAAAAATTCTCCTGTAACCTGCTCCAAATTTTGATTTTAGTGCTCCAAAAGTAGCATTTTGCTGCTCCAAAAATTGCTCCAAATTTTATTTCGGCGGTTGCACCCCCGGCAGTGTAAAAGCCATAATTTTAATCATTCGTGACTTCTCAATGTCACCCCCATGACACGTACTCTGACCATATGGCTTATTACATACTAGCGATGCGATAGTGGATGGCGAAAATGCCTTTCAAGAAAGCTGTGGAGAATTTGGCTGTTCGCGAACACCTATTTTAGGGGAGAAGCTCCTTAATGTCGGGGCTGGTCTGTTGGCGTTGTGCTCATTAGCCGCTGAAGACAATGATGATGATGATTACGATGAAGACCAAGCATATTACAGACAACGCATTCTCTCTGAGCAATCACAGCACATGCTAGGTACCTACTATATGCCATGACGATAAAAATGATGACAATGAAAATCCCGAACAGTGACTGGCTTGTGCAGTATGTGACGTCGCGAGATGTTCTACGATGCATTTCGTGTGACTGCAAACAACCAACCACCAACAGGGCAATGTGCCCAGGCCTTGTCTTTGCCGACTTTCAGGCTAGATCCGGTACCACAAAGCAGTAATAATGAAGGCAAAGAAATCGTAACTCACCATAACATACCAGTTAGGACAAATAAACATTATATATAACTGTGTACCGCTTATTGTATATAACTGTGCACCACTTGGCACTCATTTGCATCGTCATGGGGAATTTACGGTAACACCGAAATATCTCCCTGCTTCGTGCACTCATCAATCACTTTGTGGATATCCTGTGATTTTTTTTTCCCTTTGTCTTGCACATTTTTGGCGATTCGCGCTCGTCGTGCTTCGAGGGTCACCCAAATTAATCAGCTTGTATTGGCTTGATGGCAGTTGTTTTTATGGGAAAGTTCTCATCTATGAAAATTTACAGAATACCAACTTTTTAGAAATCACAAAAATGGCACATAATTTGATATGTTCATCATCAGATTTTCATAGTTCGACTAATACTGAGCCTGCCTTGTGCTTGGGAAATGGGGCACTCAGTTATGCGAGAGTGGAACTTTCAGTGACGAGGAAGTTCTGGACAAGGTAAAACCCTCAGGGTTTTTTTTTTAGGCAGGGACAGTGCACTTCTCAGTAGCACGTCCCCCCTTCCCCTGCTATGTTAATTTTAGTGTTTTAAACACACAAATGTCACCCAGCTAGTGAAGTTCAACATAGGCATTTTCCTGCTTAGTATGAGGTTGGGGGTTTGATTCCGGGCTGTGGTGCCTGCATTTAAATGTAATTGCAGTGATGTTGCATTTTTTATATGTTTATTCTGATGTAGTCATGCCCTTAATAGAGTCCCTTCAACACTTTCCTAAGTAATCATTAATTGACTTAACAGGACACTGAAAAAAATAAGGAAAAAGAAATGATGAAAATGTCGAAATTCTGCTCTGAAGATATTGATAGAGTTTGTTTCACATATTTTTAAACAGTTTACTGTATTTTCGAAGGATGATCGAGTGTGGAGGCTGAATGCAAGAGTTGCTGGGACAGCGAGGTCACCACGGTGAATGCAGGGTGCACAACTTCCTGTCCTGCTACTTCCCTGTCTCCGTCTCTCCTTTGCATCCCACCATCCCCCTTTTGCTAGTATGTCCAGACATGCCCCACTTTTTAACGGCTTCACCCCACACAGAGCTTTGTTCACTTCTGGTGCAGTTCGTAGTGGCTCTAGGAGTTCAGTGGGATCTTAGGAGGTTGAGGGATGTGGTGGATGATGGCTGGCATTGTCGGAATGCTAGTTTATGGTGTCGTTAAACATCACCTCCTTCAGTTCACAGCATGGCACAAATCACACGATTACCAAGCAAAAATGGTGAGCAATGCATTAAATTGATTTTCTGCTAGTTTGTGTGAGAATTAGTTCGTCTACCAATTTCAGCATCTAATCTTTCAGTATGGCTGAAAATCTTGGCAAAATAAATTTTTTTCAATATCTATTCAAAGGAGTTTGTTGCCTCACAAATCGATTGCCACAGAAATTTTTAGAGTCTGTCAAGTACAAACAAAATTACAGGCATTTGTCCCACACCTTAAGTGCTTTCTCTGTTTTTTCGTACAAGTGAGCATTCACAAAGCTACACCGGAGGATGGCGGGATGCGACAAGGGGGCTAGACGCTGCATCGTTTGTCAGTGTGATTCATGATCTCGAGCACGTTTTCCTTCATTTTCTTTAAACACGTGTCTTACCTTTTGTGCAGTAGTGAGCACACTGGTTTACTTCTATGGTCTGCGTATGGGCACATCCTGGCATCCCGTGGCGGCTGCCATAACTATGCAGCTCTCGAGGCTGAAATCAGCCAATGGCGGTACTGTTCGTGCTTATGGCGTGGCCATTTTGGCTCATGGCATCATTTGTCGAGACAGTGATTTCTAGTTGTCTTTGAAATTTATTGTAAGTTTCATGCACTTTGACATAATTGCAAGTTCTATGCTTCATGCTACACTAAAACGTATGGCTCACATGTTCGCAGGCACCTCGAGAACGGATGAGTGGCATTTTTTGGCCATGTTCGAAAAGTGTTGCAGGGCTCTTTAAGGGTATATTGCTTGCTGTGTACATGTGCAATATTTATGCTGTCGAAAATATTTACAGCATGGAAAAATTTTCCTGTGTTCATGTCCTTGACAATATAGTATTAACTCGCACAAATGCTCTTTGCTAACCAGTCCGTGTTGTGTGATATGAAATCTGTTGTCACGTATTAAATGATCATGGCCGGTCTTCGCACTGTAGCTGAGGTAGGCTTGCAGTAAGCGAAAGGAGCATCCTGCTCAACCTGAATGCATCCCAGCTCCTGCGTATTGCTACGGCATGCGAAACCTCATGTTTTTTTTTTTAATCGTCTTAGCCAAGTGCACTGACAAGAGGTTTACTGGTGTGCGTGTGCAGCAGCTGAAATGTCGATGTCCAAGGGTGTGCGCTGTGCCTTCCTGAGCTCCAAGTTGGACGAGTTCTTGCAGCACCAATCGGAGCTGCGAGTGGTACAGCTGGCCCAGCTCAACCCCAACATCTTACCCCTGCCCGAGGGCCAGGGAGTGCTGGCACTGAGCAACCCGGTTCTTGCGTGCAAGGGCCCCGAGGGTGCATCCAGGCAAGTGGGCCCTACCCGACAGATGACTTATCGTCCGTCGCGACGCTACGGGAGGCCACAGGCAAGTGCATATTGTTTCTATTATGCCCCTCGCAGAGCTAGCACGCTACACTGTACTCCGTTTCATAATCAGGTGCAACACTATAGAAGCTTATGTGATTTCTTGCAATATTTTTATTTTCAGGCTGAGTAATAAATTAAGATAATTTGTGCTTTAGAAATAAACAAACCCTGTTATTTATAAAATTGTCCATGGGTTCTTCTGGATAGCTTTGCATTTCCTCATTCTTGTACAATTGCATTTGCAATGAGCTCAAGCAGTCCAGAGTGCCAAGCAACAACAGAGGTGTCTCAGCGCTCGATCACTGTCGATGTGACCACGAAGCGTCGCAGCTAAATGGACAGCGCACAGCACAACTACGAATGACACCGGCGGCGGCACACCGCTAGACAGGTAGCCGAGAAGGTGCGCCGGTCGCGCTTTCTTCCATTTTATTTTTGTCGTTACCCCAACACGCGCCCATTTACATGCCGTCACAATTTTCTGTGCACCTGACTTGAAACGTCAAGCGCTGTGCCTGACGGTGGAGCTGCCTTGCAGGAAACTGCAGATGAAAACTTTAAAATTAAATTTAAATGTTTTAAACGTGTTTCCCGGTTTCGGTGCGGGGAAAACATTAACACTGCATTCCAAGAAAACACAAAATGTCAGTTTTGCCGCACCTCAAAATCGTGTCAGTACTCCTTTAAAGAATGTGGCATCTCAATGCCACGGACGGTATTGAGGATGATATGCTTTGGGCTTTGTGACAGCGAAAAGTGTAACGTTTAACTGAGAGAGTTGTCCGACAGCGACAAGGGCTGATTCAATACGTGACTTGAATTGCCGCTGTAGTGGTGACAGTTTTAGCAGCAATGCTCGCTGTTTGACTTTGTGTTTTATTTTTCGAAACATTTAGTGCTTAAAACCCAAATACAGTAAAATCTTGATGATATGACTATGGTTGATACGAATTTTGTGATGTTACGAATTTTAAGGACGTTTTGGATTAACTACATTATATGAAATACGCCATGATTTGGCATTATACGAACGGTTTCCCCAGCCACCACGGATGATGCGAATGTGCGATTGACCGCTGTGTGCAAACGGCTCAACCGGGCTTGTCAGTGGGATGAAGGCCTCCACGCTCTTGGCCTCAAAGGGAGTGAATGTGGCAAAACTCGCTGGAACTTTTCTCGCTTTAGTGGCCAGAAACACACGCTGCGAGGCCGACGCAAAAAAATCAGTTCGAGACCAATTTTCTCGCCACGCGATAGCAGGTCGCCTTCTTGCTTCACAGCTTTGGTTACATTGGCTGCTCTAGCTCTCAAACCACATGATGTAAACAACCAGCCGGAAATTCAACATGGCAGCAAAGGCGTCAGTGATGGATCAGGTCGGTACTATCGCTGACTACCCATGTAGTACGTCAAAGCTCACGGCCTTGGCAAGGATGGGTTCATTAAGAGCCTAGTTTGGATTACGATTACTGAGAACACCGGAAGTAAGAAGGCGCAGTAGCAGCAGACCGGCATGCCCTAACGTGTCTCGCCGGTGCACTGTCGGCTGAATACATTGCCGCCGCTGCCAGTGCATTTGCTCGTGTCGTTTCTGCTGGGGTATCTTCAGAAACAGGGCTTGTAAAAGTGTAAACTGTTTCTTTTCAGTGCTTTGCATGCACAACTAGAACTCGGTACGAACTTCAATGCTCAGGAAATGGGCAAAATGGAATGAATTCTCAAGCGGTGATGGCGGCGGCAGTGGCATACGAGGGGCAGAACAAATGTGAACGTTTCGGATGGGTGTGGACACGGTTTTTCAGCTGCTCTGGTGTTTTCACTTAAATTCACTAGTGTTATTTCTCCAGGACTGATTTTTTTCGTGTGGACTTTCTACGGGGTCTGCCGACCGCTTGAGCGGCGAAGCGAGCGAACTTCCCATGAGTTTGGCCGCTTTTGCTTCTTCTGATGTCAAGTGGGAATGAGCCGTGCCAACAGCATGAGTGAGGAAACCGCAGCACTATATTAGGAGACAGTGAAGGCATCAAAGTTCGAAAGAACATTATAGACCTATTCAGCTAGAAGTAGTTGCCAATAATGTTCTTGTTCATCTTCATTATCACCTCCAACTTGTTTTTGGTTCATACGAGTTCTCGATGATGGGAATATTTTGTATTAGATTCTACTGTACTTGTTCTTCTGGATGTGCAAGTGTTGGCCCAGACAGGTTATTTTTATTTGCTATCACAAAAAATGGGTGCGTATGTTTTACTCTTTCTCTTTTTTTTTTTTTGCTTGCCACAGAAAACGAGTGCACATTACAATCAAGAGGGCAGTAGAATGAAGCAAATACAGTAGTTTTCAGTTTGCCTCAAGCAGATCTGTGAGGTGCGCATTTGCGGCAGCCAGCCGGCCCTTATGGGTCTGTTTGCATGTGTCTCAGAAAGACATGCGCAAGTTTTTTCAATTGGCACAAATGTTTTGTGCATGTATTGTCGTTTGAAAAAAAAAAAAAAGGATCTTTCTAGTTTTTTGGCGGTACGATATTTAAGTGATACGAATATTTTTGCTCCCTTTTGAGATCCGTATCACTGAGTTTCACGCAGCTGCTCATATGCAAAAAATGTGCAGCAAAACTTAGTCATTTCAAGCTGCACCCACTAAGCATGATGACACTGGTTTGATTCCCGACCACGGCACCTGCATTTTGATAGGGACAAAACAATGCACGTTAAAAGAACCTTGGGTCGTTAAAAATTATTATAGAGTGGCCAAGTATGCCACGCCTCATTGTAACATTTAGGTTAAGACGTGTGGAACTGCAAGATTTCTATCAATTTTGAACCCTCCAGGCTGCAGACACTAAGTGTGCATCAGCTGGTGCACGGATTGAGCACTGGAAGACTAGTGCCGCGCCCGCTGTACGGCGTCGGCAACATATTAGCTCAACGACTGACAAAGCAGCGGAGGAACCCGAAGTACCTTCTCCATCTCCATCCAAGCCTGTTGCTGGCACTGCAGCAATAGACGACTCCTTGCCCAAGGTGATTCTTTTCTTTTTATTTCTTATAGAGGATAAAGGGAACAAACTGTCTTAATGTACTACCATGCTTTAGAGGGCCAGTAAACAACTCCACGGTCTAAAATTAGTAATGCAGTGATAACTGTGCGCTCTTACGCAAGATTTTTGTGAGTAAGTGCTGTGATAAGGAAGTTCCAATAGGATAAAACAGCATGTTTAGAATATGTAAAAAAAATGTGGCCAGCTCGTTTAGAAAATGTAAAAAAAGAAGTCCAAGCCCATTTACCTGCTCTTTAAAGGCCTATTCTGGCGATTTTTAGAGGTCAATGTATCATAAAATGCACTAGGTGCGTTCATTTGCATGTTTCTGCCACTTATGCCAGATTACAGGCTTGAGTGTTCTGCAGGTTGTTTTGGTTGAAATGAATTCTATAGATTGTCTGGAAATGCTCACTTAGTTTGCCAGAACTACCGTATTTACTCGCATAATAGGTGCACTCCCAGTTCGGTGAAATCAGTTTTTTTTTTTCATTTCTGTGCCTAATAGGCACACCTCGAACTTGGCTGTAATCAGTAGTTCTGTACCGTATTTGCATGATTGCAATTTGATGCCCTCTTAATTAACTGAAGCAGGAAAAAAAAAACGACAGTAGGAAGTAGCACGGCGCGTGCTCACCGAGTGAGGAAGAAGGGCGGTTGCCTGGGTGTCAGAGTAACCTTCGAAGCGATGGCGGCGTGGCTCCAGCTGTGCGCACTCCGCTTGGAACATGCGATCGCGTTCTCATCAAGAGCACTTTGAGCTTCCTGTTGGAAGAAGTGTCGTCGCTATCGCGTTTGCTACCTCGGCCACAAATTTAAAAGCTTTCTGACGCGAGCTTTCGCCGTTAGTGCCACTATGCGGACTTGCACAAGTTCAGTGGACTTTTGTCACCGTTAATTTCCCGATCGCGAACCTAAACATCACTTAATGCGAGCAGCTCTTGCATCAGAGCTTGAGTACGATCTTTTCGATGCCTGATCTTCATGTTCTCTCGTACAAAGTTCCCACGACAATATGCCGAACCGTCGACTAAGCCTAATCAGCATTTGTTGCTTTTCGGTAGCGGTTGCGAGTGGTCAATGTTGCGGTTTTGTGCGGAATCGGCGTAACTCTTCGCGAAGGCTCTACTTGAAAGAAAGAGGGCATGGGTGGCACGTGTAAATTCGAATGGTGGCTCTAGATTCGATCGCAATGTCTTTGGATAGGGGGTGCGAGGCCGTGAAATGAACACTCGCTACCGTTCAGCACACAAAATTTCGGACATAATAATGTGCATAATCTAGGTGACCTGAAACGTAATTGGCAAATTTCCGAGTTCATTCTATGGGTACCGCAGGTATTTCAATGTTAGTTTTTGGAAATTTGAATGCTTGTAAAGCACATCACATCTCATGCCTCAATTCAGAGACACGCAAGACTGCATGTAGCTCACAATGTTTTGTGCTTGCGTAGCCTATTAGCCTATGAAGAAGGTTGTTTTGACTGCAGTGTGGATATCGTGACTTCGGTGACCAAGAATATCAGCGGTCTGTGCTGTAGTCAGAAATACAATTTTCGGAAATTTTACCCCGTGTAATAAACGTACCCTGAACTTGGTGCTAGATTTTCTGCAAAAAAGGTGTTCCTATTATGCGAGTAAATACGGTATTGGAAGCATTGTGTTTTTTTACGTCAATTGGCAAGGGGACGGAAGTGACGACACTCAGGTGCCACTGCAATGTCTGCAATGAGTCATAGACATGGTGCGGCATGGTCACCTATCAACTGTGCGTCTGCTCTCCACGCTGTTGCTGTTTTCTTACTCCGCGCTAGAGGAACTGGCATGCCTTGCAGGATTTCCAGTTCTTACAAAGTAATATGTCATACGTATAGTACAGTACACACTGCTGGGTTGTTTTGATATTAACTTTTTTGCTTATTAAAGTTATTTACAAATTGGCTTAGCATTTCAGCTATCAAGCGCTTGAAAAGAGCGTCTCGGGGAGATATTACATGATTAACATGACATGGTAAATAAATCACTGGAGTTGGCCTTGAAAGGTTAATTTCTGTACATTTTGATTTTTCCTTCTTTTGATCTTGATTCTCGAAATTTCTTTTTCTTCATAAAAGTTGCTACTTAAATTTGTACATTTGTGCCACCATTTGCTCTAAAGAAACTTCCACTGCACTCACTCACTTTGAGAGTGTTTCAAGTTGCCTTCCTCAGCCTACTGTCAACAGTGAGAAAGATCTGTTAACAACGAAGTTGTGAAGCTGAGTGATCGATTGCTGCCCCGCCGCGGTGGTCTAGTGGCTAAGGTACTCGGCTGCTGACCCGCAGGGCGCGGGTTCGAATCCCGGCTGCGGCGGCTGCATTTCCGATGGAGGCGGAAATGTTGTAGGCCCGTGTGCTCAGATTTGGGTGCACGTTAAAGAACCCCAGGTGGTCTAAATTTCCGGAGCCCTCCACTACGGCGTCTCTCATAATCATATAGTGGTTTTGGGACGTTAAACCCCACATATCAATATCAGTGATCGATTGCAATCGCTGGTTCATAAAAACTTGCTTGTCATTTGGTTTACGACCACTGTGCTGCACATGTCAGATAACCAGGTCCACTCTGGATTGCAAGTGTATGTGCACATCTTTGTCATTGTTCTAATCACCCTTGTCTCTCTTGGTTCTCTTTTTCTTTCCACAGTCTCCGGCAAAGCGTGCAAAGATAGAAGCTGAGGAAGATGCACCTTTCCTGGCAATGACTAGCCGCAGATTACGTGGTGGCCAGGTGACACAAGATTCTTCCTTGAACAAGGCTGCTGTTGCATCTAAGGAGGGGCCCAAAAAGAAGGAGCCCTCTACCCTTAAGGAGCCCAGTATTCCGAAGGAAAGTTCAAGGAAGAAGGAGTGCGTCTCCAACCCCGTGACGCCCTCAAAGACAACTGGCGCGGTAGCGGCAAAGAAAACTGCTGTGGTGGTCCCTCCGCCTGCCGAGGAGGCGTTGCCTTACGGTGCGTACGAGGACAGCGGCGACTACCCGATCGTGCCAGAGACCCAGTTTACCAGTGAGCAGAAGCGTTTGCTTCAAGAACTTCTCACAAGCACACAGTGCAGTCGGCCACTCCAGGTAGTTGTGCCCGGGGACCCCTGTTTCGTGTGCCCGCAACTGGACCAGCACGATGCCCTTGCGGCTGCGCGAGCGCTTTTGCTAGCTGAAGACGGCACACATCGCAAGACATCGACTACCTCTGGCAAGCCAGGGGCTCCTTCGCATGCCTCTGCTGGGCAGAAAACGGCACAAACGGTGGGGGCAAGTATTTTTTTAATGTCTCAATCATAACGCTTTCTTGTTGCTGTATTTCGTCGACTCTAAGCTGGATAAATATATAGTCGAGCCCGCTTATAACAAACCTGAGCCTGACGCGGCATCTGTTTGCTGTATCCAGAAGTTCGTAGTAAATGAAACACTGCTTTAAAAAAAAAAGTTGCAAGTGAAAACACAAATTTTTTTGCCCATATTGTCCGTGATGCACGTGTTTTGAAGAGCAGAAGCGATAAGGGCGGCCTCGAGTTTATGAGTTTATTTCAAACGGCAGTGTGCTCTTCGCCGAGGCCCGTGGCATAAGCTGCATAAGGCATTGGCCCCAAAGTTTCCTCGTTCTCGCAATCTGATTCCTCCAAATCGATCTTGCTGCGTACTTAATTCACAACGCTCTAATTCGTGCACAGTTCCGCGGTGTCGGCATCATCATCAGCCATAATAAAACCATCGCAACAGATGTCCCACCCGCTCTGACAGGTCGGAGTCGATGACGCGCTGCCACAAATTGCCGCCGAAGTAGTACTGTTCGAAAACTTCACGCTCGGCATCAGGCCCAACAATTTTGCGCGCATGTAGCCTTCAATGCTGTCCACTAAATATTCACCATCTCCACAGCTGAATACCGGGACGCCTGAAGCGGCAAGTTAGCTGCCATGTGATCAACAGCTATGAGCAAGCGCTCCGCAAAGCGGCATCTAATGTGCAGATTACGCCCAAGCCAAGCGGTCACACTTTCGACGTTTTGTTGAGTGGCAGGAAAAAGCGTGCAAGGCCTCCCATCCGCCATCCTGACCACACATGCACCCCGAGAGCAAGAGAGAGGTGCACACGCAACACACATGCCAGAACACGTGGTACAGCTCTGGAATCATTTCTAGTCGGAAAACAAAACTTCTGAATTAGAGTCAGCTTGGCTGGCGACTCGGAGTGATGGAAATGGGCGAAGGAAAGAGGAGAGTGTATTTGTGAGAGAACCGCAATGAGCTGAGATAGAGTGAAGAGAGTGAAGGATGCGGCGGGAAGGCGGCCTTGAAAACCAAAACGCGTGGAAAGGAGGCAGGTCTAGCAGTTTGCTTGAAAGGTCCGCGAAACGTGCAACTCGTGCATTAAAAAAAAATTGAAAGAATGCCTGCGCGTGCAAAGGTCTTAGCGCATGCGCCTGGATCGGCGCGCACGGGGTTGTTCAAAGAATTGGCAGCCGTGGTCAAAGAATCGGTTTGTTGTGCCGGCAGTTTTGTGTGGCCTCACCGACATCGATATTTCGCAATTTGTTCCGTGCAAATTAACAGCCGTTTTTACGCTTCCACACGCGTGCGGAGGGCATGCTGAGCCGAGTGCGAAGTGAGCGAGAACAGGCCCTAAACACGAAAAAAATCACGAATCATCAGAGAGAGCGGGGTAACGTATGATAAGACAAGACGCAGACAATCGGATAGAGATGATGTTGGCAAATGGTCTGGTCACTCCAGGCCGGTGACGTCAATGACAATACCAGCGATCAAAAACAGGGGAGACGGCCGACCGGACTTCAGAAGATGGGTGGCAGTGTGAAAACACGGGCCACGTCTGGCGAAACGGCTTTCTTCTTTCGGCAAATGACACTACAAGCTCAAAAATCACTTGTCACAGCCAAGAAGGAACGGCTCTGGTTACAGCCATTGGCTGATTTGAGCATGGTGCGCTTGTTGTTATTGAGGCTGCCACAGGAGGCCGCCGCTTGTCCACGGGTATGTGCACAATCGCACTGAAAAGCGGCTTATTCTAAGAAAAAAAAAACAAAGGTGCTCAAGTTCACAAGGTGCGTGTGACGTATTTTTTTTTTGCCGTGCCATTCCTCCCTGCTTAATTTCCAGCTATTTCGTCGGGACGAGAAGAGAGAATGCAATTGCAACATGCGACAAATTTTTGGAACTCCGCTTGTACCGGACTGATTCTAGAAACTTTGCGGCAGTAAATTTGTGAGGCAACAGGCGTGTTTACTGGCTCCATGGCTACTTAAAAAAGTGTTGCAGGGCCCCTTTAAGGGGGGACGCGCCCTTTGAAAACCGAAAAATCGCGAAAAAGTCGATTTTTTGAAAACCACATACTCGGGCAGTATGACTCATAAACTGCCTCTACTGTAAATATCAATGTCTAATTCATCGCGAAAGTACGTCAAATAAATTTTATAACATGCCGCGGCAGCCGGCAAGCGGCGAGCGAGCGCCAAAAATACCCCAACTTCGCGTGCTCGCCATTTCCCAACCGCTCGGCCGATCGCCGCCATCTTCATGTTGTTTTGCTCGTGAATTCATGCGCTTTTTTTTTTTTCGCCACCCGCGGCAGTGGCGGTGGCGCTCCGAGGCGGGAGTCGCTTACGATTGGGGGGCTCGCGGAAGCTTTCGAATGTCCCGCCGCCTGGATGCGAAGCCGCGATTGGACAAAGCGCGCGCCTCTCGAAGGAATGGGGGAGCGCGCGGCTCCTATTGGCTGCTGCGCGCGATGACGGAGCTGCTTCTCCGGCATGCGCCGGCTCGTCGTCTGCACCGGTGCTTGCAATGCCGGCGTTCTTTGTGTGCCCCGTTTGCCATCATTCCGATCGGTTGTCACACGTGCTCCTCTATCTTTCACCGTCTTCACGAGACGATCTTCTACCGTCTTCACGAGACGATCTTCTACCGTCTTCACGAGACGATCTTCTACCGTCTTTACGAGACGATCACTACCGTCCTCACGAGACGATCTTCCGCCGTGTTCACGGGACGCGGATTGTTGCGCTGACGGTCACGATGGGCATTTCGAAGTTCAAGACTCGGCACGCGTTCGGTTCAAGAAAGCGTCAGCTGAAGCTCGTACGCATGGCGAAGCTCACCTGCACGCCCACGCGCGGCGACAGTTGCACCGATGCTTCCGCTTCATCTCTTCAAGACGATTGCGTCGACGCTTCTAGCGACGAGACTTCTACACCATCGGCACAAGGATCCGTCGTGACGAGTGAGGCTGGTGTTTCGTGCTCAAGTGCGCCTGGTGTGTCGCGCTCGCCAACCGCATTGATTCCGGCCCCGAACAGTGAGACCGCGTCGTCGACTGTGCACATCCAAACACGTTTTCGGACGTGCGAGGAGTTGGCGACGGCGGAGAGAGAACGTGCTGCTGTGCAACGAAAGCTTGGCGCTATGCCAGCGACCGAGAGGAAGTTTCAAGTGATGATGCCTGAACCCGAAGCTGCCACCGCTACGACCGAAGGCGAGAGATATTTCCTCGTGCAAGGGGATGCCCTTAGCGACATGCTGTCCAAGACCTCGTGCCCGCGCTGCCTCGCGACCGGGATGAAAGTTCAAGGAGGCACCCAGCTTGGACTTGCCACGAAGCTTGAGCTGGTATGTCCACATTGTGGAATAGTTTCAAGTTCGTGGAGCTCTGCTCGTCAGAACGAGTCAAGGGCCTTCGACGTGAATATAAGAGCCATTACGGCCATGAAACAAATAGGGAAGGGACAGACAGCCCTCAACGACTTTTGGGCAACTATGAATGTTTCCCACCGTGGCCTGCACTACAGAACTTTCCAGAGGCACCTGAAGCAATTCAGAGAACCACAGCAACAGACCCTGGATAAATTCTATGAAGAATCGGCTTCTGCTGTGAAAAAGGTGTACAAGGAGATGGACCCATCTTTCTGCAAGGACATTACAGTGAACTATGATGGCACGTGGCATAAGCGCAGACATACATCTCACATTGGAGTTGGTGCAATCATCGAGTATCACACAGGCCTCATCTTGGATGCTGTAGTTTTATCGAATCAGTGTCTCGGCTGCCAGGTAGGACCGAAGCCTGAAGACGAGGGCTATGCAAGCTGGTTGAAGCACCATGTGTGCCAAAAAAACACTGATGCCAAGTCTGGGAGGATGGAAGTTGAAGCAGCTGTAACTCTGTTCTCACGTTCACTGTCCAAGCATAACCTCCGGTATACAACCATTGTATCTGATGAGGACAGCGCCACATTCTCTGCCCTTCAACAAGACAATGTTTATGGGCTAGTCCCTATTGTGAAAGAAGAATGCTTGAACCATGTCCGGAAGAGGATGGGCACAGCCCTACGTAATCTTGTGAAGAAAAGCGAACAGGCTCTGGGAGGGAAGGGCAGATTGACAAAAGCCCTTATTGATAAACTCACAGACTATTATGGCTGGGCACTGCGGAACAATCCAAACAATGTGGCTGCAATGCAGCGTGCAGTGATGGCGTCATATTATCACGTCACCTCAACTGACGAGGATCCTCACCATGACTTGTGCCCGGAAGGTGCAGACTCGTGGTGCCGTCATAATGCCTGCAAGGGAAATAGCGTGCCACCTCCAAAGCACAAATACAATCTTCCGGGCTACGTTGCAGAAGCGGTGCTGCCAGTCTACCAGCGCCTTTCGCAGGCTTCTCTACTGCAACGCTGCTTGGGAGCAAAGACGCAAAATGCATCGGAGTCATTCCATTCTGTCCTATGGTCCTTGATGCCCAAGGAGCAACATGCATCATTGATTGCTGTCGAGACAGCACTGCATGACGCAGTTTTGCGGTATAATGCCGGCTGCTACAGGGCCACCCAAGAGTTGTCGTCATCAGTGGGACTCACACCTGGCCACCTAACCATTCAACGAGCTGCGGAGTAAGACTCTCTGCGTCTGAGAAAGGCTCAGAAACGGATGAATGAGAAGCAGGAAAAGCGGCAAAGAAAAAGAGAGCCTAAGGACACATCTAGCTACTCTGCAGGGTCATTTTAGACCATAATAAATGTTTGAAACTTTCGAAGTCAATTTTCTCAGAATGACTTTTTTGGCCAGTGAGGCTGCTTAGTCAGGTGATCTCTCTGGAACTGCTGGTCTGATTTCTATCAGGTTTTTTTATTATGCACCTTAATAAATTGCCCAGGGCAAGACAAGCCCGCTTTTTCAATTTATTGTGTCTGTAATTTGTAATAATTAACTAAAACTTCATTGATGAGAGCCAAATTG